GCACAGTTCAGCAAAAAAAATAAAAATTCTGTAATTTATTTAGCCTAACGTCATTCCAAACCTGTATGACTTTCTTTGATTTGTGAAACATAAAATACATTTTGAGAAATGTCTCAGTGTTTTTCCCCTCTTTGGAATTCAATAGTCATCAAAACTGTCTAGTTACCACGATTCTTCAAAATATCCACAGAAAGCATAATCATAAAGTCATAAATTATGACATAAAAACACTTGAATGTCATGGTTCATCCAAAAATGTAACTTAACTTATATAAATATATATATATATATATATATTTAAAAGGCTAATATCAGTACTTTACTGGTTATAAGCTATACCATTAAAATAATTCTTGCCGTATCTGCATCTGTAAGAATTTTCAATAGGTGCATCCTTTTTTAAAGTCATCAGAAATAAAATGATTCAGTTCTGGAACCACTGCCCCATACTAAAAATAAACTACCGTGGAATCTCAGAAGAGGATGAATCACATTCTAGTATGTTTAGCACATCTAGTAAGCACATAATGTTAAAGAATTGCCCATTTTCTAAGTTTTGCTAAATACCAACAGCAGAGTGCCGAGAAAAATATGTTAAGGGCCTCTCTGACCTTACTATATGTGTCAGCGCACTCTCTCTCGTGCACATTATCGCACACACATACTATCAGGAGATTCACACTTCCTAACTCCTGACCCAGCTGGAAACACATCCTGCTTGACCTCAGCATCACCACACAGCATGTCCCGGCAACAGTTTGTACACTGCCTCAGTCACATGACACAAAACTGCAGTCTGTTAAAAATGCAGAACATCCATTAAAGCTAAAATGGTTTGTCAGTACATAGCACTCCAACAAAACCAGGACATTTGGCTAAGGTAGAGTAAATTTGCATCATGAAACTTCCTTACTAAGCTTTCACTATACTAGAAAGGAAAAGAAGGTGTAGAGACATGAGTAGGGCTGGGCAAAAAAATCGATTTTTCGATATATCGTTTTTTAAAATGTGGTCGATTCAATATCGATTCGCGAAGGCCACGAATCGATTTTTTTCAATATTTATTTCCACAAACATTGAACAGAAGATTTACGTTAATCTTATTACTAGTCTAATCCACTAGATGTCACCCCCTTATTTGCCTTGCGCGATGTTACAACGGAGAGTCCGT